CGTGACTAGTTGACTAATCGTGACTAGTTGACTAATCATGACTAGTTGACTAATCGTGACTAGTTGACTAACCGTGACTAGTTGACTGATCGTGACCAGTTGACTAATCGTGACCAGTTGACTAACCGTGACTAGTTGACTAATCGTGACTAGTTGACTAATCGTGACTAGTTGACTAATCGTGACTAGTTGACAGTGACTAGTTGACTAATCGTGACTAGTTGACTAATAGTGACTAGTTGACTAATCGTGACCAGTTGACTAACCGTGGCAGCCCTGCTCAGGAACATGATGTTTTGTGTTTAAATTTAGTAACAGCTGGCCCTTTGAGGGCCACTGGAGACCACGTGGCCCTCAGTGAAAAGGAGTTTGACCCTCTGGTGTAGAGGGTCTAACTTCCTGTTAGTGATCATGATTGACTGCAGGTTGTTTTGACAGCCCTCAGCAGACTGAGCAACACTCATCTGAATAAGAACTAATTATTTATGATCTGAAATGTGCAGAGATGTAAATGAGCATCAAACAATGAGAGTTGAGTCTGGAGGAAGGCTGATGTGTTTGTGGTCCTCACAGAGAGAACTGAACTAAACACATTTTAGATTTTCTCATTTCAGGGCTGGCTGCTCGCTGCAGGGAGTTCCAGTTTGACCCTGAGGAGGAAAACATTGTGCTGCTGGTGACAGAAATGTGACGGAGCTGCAGCCTGCAGCCCGCTGCATCAGTACTGCTGCAACACTTCTACTTCCTGACACAACCAGGACTGTCCTGAACCAACAGGTACTAAAACACAGGTAGGATGTGATTCAGACCCACTCAGAGTTTAAATATATGTGACCCGTCACCAGAGTTCTAAAGTAACTAAGTACAAATACTTTGTTACTGTACCTAAGGAGAAGTTTTAGCTATCCGTACTTTACTTGAATATTTTTTTCAGCCAACTTTTTACTTCTTCTCCTTACATTTAAAAAAAGTAAGAAGTAGAAAGTCATTACTCCCATTTCATTCCAGCTTGTTAATTAAAAATAAATTTGAAAATTATATCCTGATAAACTGTGCCTTTGAATTTAATTGTGGTTGGATGAGAAGTATAAATATCTACCACTCTGACACCATATTAGTTTGTACACAACCCATCACAGCTGCACGCCTTTAAAAATGTATTTGGAAAATATAAGCTTTCATTTTTACTCAATACTTTTACTTTTAATACTTACCATATTTATTCATGTATAATATGATCTAAAGTATAATATGATCATTTTTTGATCTTACAAATCATAAAAATCTAATTATCAACAACCTGTGAATAATACTATCCCCCTTTTTACGGATGATTTTTAGGGTTAAATTTCTAGTATTATACATGAATAAATACAGTAAGTACATTTTATGTCAGAAATTTACTTTTGATACTCAAGTACAAAATAAATCATATACTTTAAAACTTTTACTCAAGTAATATTGTTAGAAAAGAATTTAACATTTACTAAAGTCATTTTACGGTAAGATACTAGTACTTTTACTCAAGTAACACATTGTGGTACTTTATACAACCCTGCCATCACATAGAAACAAGGATTAAAACGTGGTACAGGCAAATATGTTGTTTTGATGAAAACACTTATAAAAAGTTCATTTCATCAAAATATAACAAATAAAAGCCTTTTCAATGTTTAACTTGAATGAACTGTGTGAACTATAATCCTTAAATTTTTAAAGTACTTTTTTTTAGCAGTAGCAACAGAAAACCTGATTTTGAGAAAAGATGCCTTTAAATTTTAAGATTTTTCCCTGTGAGGTAACAAACGTTTAGTTTCTTTCCAGCTGGGAAATGTCAATATTCAAATAGTATTTGAGACTTCGTGTTCAAACTGAGAAG